CCCCGCCCCTTTACTACACTCTGTGCACAAGCTTTGCCCTAGGCCTGGCAAGCAAGAATTCTGTGACCCTATTGCCCTGGCCCCAACTCACTTGTAGGACAGAGATTCCATGCAGGGATCTCCATGCAGCATGCAAGCTGGGAAGGCTAAGAGTTTGCTGACCCTGCTCAGAGTAGTGGGGCACCAAGATTTTGCCAGGAGGAGAGTTAATAGTTAAGAACAGAAAGTAGGGAAGTTCAAAGCTAAGAGTGTTCTCAAAAACTGTAGATTTTGGTGGTAAGGACATAAAAGGAGGCTGTTAGCTCTTGTGAGAACAAAAAGCTAAACCATAGGCTTGGTAGTTTGCCAGCAAGACCCAGGCAGACAGCTTAGCAGAGCTGTTCCGAGATCAAAACCAACTCAGACTCAAAAACTACCTTTGCCCAATTTTAATTGGATTAGACTTTAGAGCACTTTTTGCCCCAAGGCACTGTCAAAAGTAGAGCATTCAGCCAGCAATTAGTGGGGTCTGACAGCTGGGTTTCATACCAGATGAGGCAAAAATCTTAACAGAGAGATCAAGGAGAGAGCCACAGAGAGCCCTGCTAAAACGGCCATCCAGGGAGAAGCAAACATGCCCACAGCTGCACACTCTGGGGCAAAACACGAAAGACCTCACTAGGCCATGGAGAAATAGATTTTACTGAAGTAGGCTAGCCAGGTCACTGAACAAATGAACAAAGAAATAACAACAAGCCCTGAACGGAAGGAAGGGGAATCTGTATCCAGAGTTGCTGCATTATTTACCTAAAATGTCAGTTTTTAATAAAATTTGAGATATGCAAAGAAACAAGGAAGTACGGCCCATACACAGGAGAAAGCAGGCAACAGAAGTTGCCTGAGAGAGCCCAGATAGCAGATCTAATAGAGACTTCAAAGCAGCCAGTGCAAGGATGGTCAAAGAACTAAAGGAAGCTGTGCTTAAAGAAGTAAAGGAAGGGACACCTGGGTGGCTCAGTTGGTTAAGCGTCTGCCTTCGGCTCAGGTCATGATCCCAGGGTCCTGGGATCGAGTCCTGCATTGGGCTCCCTGCTCAGCCAGGAGTCTGGTTCTACCTCTCCCTCTGCCCTTCCCTCCTCCCCCACTCATGCTCTCTGTCTCTCTCATTCTCTCTCTCTCTGACAAATAAAAATCTAAAATAAAAGAAGCTAACGAATCTGTGACATCATCAAATAGAGAATATGAGTAAAGAGATAGGAGATATAAGAAAGAGCCAAATGGAAGTTCTGTGGTTTATTAAATTATAAGTAACTGGAATGAAAAATTCACTGAAAGGAGCAAGAAGAATATTTGAAGAAATAGTGGCTGAAAACTTCTCAAATTTGAAAGGCATTAATGTACACATCTGAGAAGCCCAAAGAACTGGAAGTAGCATAAACTTAGAGATTTACACCCAGACACATCATGATAAAAATGTTGAAAGACAAAGAGAAAATCTTGAAAGTAGCAAGAAGAACAGCTCAGTAAGATTGATAGCCGACTTCTTGGAAATCACAGAGTCAGAGGGCAGTGGGATGACCTATTCAGAGTGCTGAAAGAAAAAAAACTCTCAACAGCAAAATGTTCTTTCAGAAACGTAGGTGAAATAAATTGCTAGATAAACAAAAACTTAGAGAATTTGTTACTAATAGATCTGCTTTATGAGAAATACCCAGGGAAGTTCTTCAGGCTGAAAGCAGGTGACCTCAGACAGTAATTTAAATCTACACAGAACAGCAAAGAGCATTCCTAAAGGTAATTACATAATCACAAAAGACAGTATAGGGCGCCTGGGTGGCTCAGTTGGTTAAGCAACTGCCTTCGGCTCAGGTCATGATCCTGGAGTCCCTGGATCGAGTCCCGCATCGGGCTCCC